CCCAGACGAGACTCGAGAGTGAAGACCGAACGGGATGAAGGGGATTTGGGCACTGTAGATGCGGTTGCGACGGTGATGGGAGTGGGGCGCGGCGGCGACGAGCAAGTGACGAGAGTGGCGACGAGCAGACGACGAGCAGATGGGAGAGACGACAGACTCCCAGACGAGACTCGAGAGTGAAGATCGAAAGGGATGAAGGGGATTTCAGGATTTGGGCACTGTAGAAGGGTTGGGCTAAAGGGGATTTGGGCATTTGGCCCATTTGGGATTTGGATTGGGCTTTATAATTAAAAGTGAGCCTAGTATGTGTTGGGCCGGTATTACCGACGGTTTTCGAAAACGATCGGAAAAGGGCTAAACCATTTTCGTTTTCATTTTCGAATTTTTTTACCGTTTCCATTTCCGTTTTACCGGTTACGGTTTCCGTTTCCGTTTAGCCTCCAAATCCGAAAAAATTTCGAAAACGATTCCCGGTAATCGGAAATTACCGTTTCCGTTTTCATCCCTAAATGGCGACCTTGATTTTTCCATTTTTTGGAAATTAAAAAAAAGAAATGTTTTTTATCCTATAAAATAATATTAAAAAAGTACACTTTTAAATTGTGAATTAGTATAAAACAAAAATATAATGATTAAGGTTAAAAATGAGAAATAATAAAAATACCAATTGGGTGAAAAATATATAAAAGGATGAATAATATATTTTATTAGAAAATATACAATGAATATTTATTTAGTTTTAAAATTGTTTTAGAGAAATTATAAATGTAAAAATGAGATACAATCAGTAGTATTTTCTACGATCTTTTTATTAATATTCACAACTTGAATAAGATAAAACATTGACTAATCAAATTAACTAAAGAAACTTAATAAATCGAATCCAATCTAAAAAATCATAAGTTGAAATTTTGAAGTTCTGGTTAATCTAGAATTGAAAGTCCAATCTTCATGTTGATATCTTTTTCAGTAATTACGTTTAAAAACGCTAAGTAAGCACACCTCGGATTTGATAAGGTAATAACTGATGTCACTCTCCAACAATAAAATAAGGAGAATAGTCACTTTCAGATTCCAACCGAGGTCTTTACAAAAGGAAGTCGTCCACAATCGAGATCCAAGAAAGTTGACTTTCTACAAATGGTGAGGCTGCGAATCTTCATAAAAATATCATTATTGTTGCCTAGTTGACAGACAACCGCCTCTGAAAAGTAATTTTGCCTTAAATGCAATTACACTTACCTCGTACTACGGGTCAATCGCACTATAAAAAGCCGATTTGACCAGGAATAAGGTGACTTTTTCCCTTTTTTCTTTCTCTTACGAAATTGGAGACAAAAGGATTAAAAACCCGATAATTGTAACGTCGATTACATGCAAAAACCGACGTCTTATGATCAAAATTCCTAGCAATCATATTGTTATTCGACATAATAGACTACATTTGCACTTAATCATCGTTGTTAATTATCGTACAACAACACCTTGAATCTTTGAAATTGTATCAAGTGGAAATATATATATATATATATGTATATATATATATGTGTGTGTGTGTGTGTGTGTGTGTGTGTGTGTAATTACTGTCAGATGCAAAAAATAAAATATATTTAATAAAACCTTCGTAATTTTCCTGCTCATGTTTTCAATTAATGTAAAAATGTTACATTTTACATTAATAAAGTGTAATAACAATTTTAAACCAATTTATTATATAATATTACTACTAACACTAATTGATTATAATCTTACATTAAATAGTATGTGGGAGTACATACTTATAAAAAATTGTGTTGCAATTTTTTTTCTTTAAAATATTTTTTCTAAAATAATATATTTATTGTCTTTTTAAGAAATTTTTATCTAATATTAGTTAATTGACAATAGTGTCATAATTAAACACCTTAAAGTCATTTAGACAATTGCTATAACAATGATAAAAAATAATTGTAATACTTTTCTAACTAATTAAATGTATGGTCCCTCTAGATTACTAAATTATATTGTTCATTAAAATTTATGGCATCAGTATAAATATTTATACGTAAGTTAAATAATTTATATTTACATTACACATTTGCATATAGTC